GCCCGAACCTGGCCGGGAGCCTGGGACCAGCCGCCCAGCTTGTCCTCCTGAGCTGCCAGCGCAGCATCTCATGTGACAAAAAATATAAAATCAGAGGATTTTACGGTTTCTGTGCAAGTTCGTCAGAATCCATTATGTCTCTCCTGACAGGCGGCTCCATCCGTCCGTCCTGTCACCGGAAGTGCCGCAGGTAGACCAGCTTCTGGGGTGGGAACCTCTCCCGGCACAGGGGACACTCCGTCTGGGGGGAGGGAGAGGTCACATGGGCTGTGCCCACCCCACCGGCCCCTCCATCAACGTAACACAAGACAGTTTGCATGTCTTTGAAGCCGCAGCCTGAAAAGGCCCCTCACCCGGGCGCTGGGAAGAGCAGGGAACTGAGCAGAGGCCCGCTGGCAAGACGGCCAGCCTGGCACGGTGACGGGACGGGGGTTGAGACGCCCATGGGGCTGCCTGTGCCCATCGCCCGTCCTGTTTCCTGAAGCCGGGCGGTCCCACCCCCAAGGGCCACCTGGGTGAGACCAGGTCAGCCTCCCTCCAGCCCTGCAAGGCCGGCCGCTCGCCTGCCAGGCACCCACGGGGCAGCCGAGGGGGGAACAGTGAGCATCACGCCCCGTTCACCTCCTCCCCTCAGCCCCGCCCCGGAGACGCTGGGCTCGGTGAGCTCGCCATGAAGGGGTGGGGCCCAGGACCGGGCCTCCTGGGTCAGATGGAGGCGAGAGGCGCAGTGCCCCCTCGCCCTGAGGTCTCCAAGGCCAGGGCAAGGCTGTCCCGAGCTCCCACACGGCCATCATGCTGGGCGCCTGTCTGGCTGGAGGGCAGGGTCTGGAATGTGTGACCAGGAGCCTGGACACCCTCCCAGGAGCGATGAGCTCAGATGCTTCTGGCAAAGTGTCCACAGGCAGTTGTGGTGCCTGGACTCCTGACCCGACCCACTACCTGCTCACCTGGGGCTTTTAAAGACACCCGCCCTCCCTCCTTTCAGGGCGGCTGCCTGGCGGTCCCCAGGGACCTGCGCTCCGAGGGCTGCTGACCTTGGTGTCGCACCACTGGGTGATGCACTCCCAGCAGAACAGGTGGCCGCAGGGCGTGGCCGTCGAGTGCCTGCGCTCCTCCAGGCACAGGGTGCACAGCGAAGTCCGGGACACTGCTCTC